GGATTGGAAGCAAACAATTGGGGGGGGGTGTCGGATGGTAACGTGCGCCCTGATTTGTTTAAGTGAGCCGCTTTGTGGGTCACAGTCACCAGCGTTCATTCGATAATTTAATGGACTCTTTCTGCTGATCGTTCTCACTATCATCCGGTAGTTGGTTAACGTGAGAATGTCAGCGCCGTATCGAGCAATCATTCGAGTAGTGGATAAGGCCGTTCCTGGGCGTTTCAAACCTCTTTGGGAACATCCTGCTGGACCGAAAACGGTTTTTTTCTGGGCACCAACCTTTAAATGGGTTCGATCATTTTCATTCCCTCTCAACATGTATTAGGCTCTCGTGATAGCTGGAATATCAGACATAACACGCCCTGTGGAGAAAGTTAGCACATATCAAAGCTGCGCTCTTGCGGCAACAGGAATCATCTGGTCACGTTATTCCTTGGTAATAATCCCAAAGAACTGGAATTTATTTAGTGTGAATGTTTTCCTCGCAATTACTGGTTTATTCCAACTCGGTCGAAAATTTGTGTAAGTTTTTATATTTTTCTGATAGTCATGAACAACTGTTTCCAGGCATAACCAAAAAATGAAATCCATCGCTGGACCACCTGCCTGAAATCACCGGCAGATTCATACGACATCAAATATCCTAGAGATGGACAGCATTTGAAGAAGTAAATGTTTAGTATCTGCATTATAAGACTTTTAAATACAATAAGGAAAGGTAATTGGCGTCGATATTTCCGGCCTTTCTTCGTCTTAATTATTTCATCTTTATTTTGAATGGAGGACGGAGGGGCCGCAAACCGTATAAGTGTCATCACCACTGGCACCGAGAGCAATAGGTTCATCTGTTCGTGAGTTGCCTTAGTCTCACCAGATGTTAGTCTATGCTTGAATCGCGTCTCGTCCTCGACTAACGATGGAAGTGGGTTCCAAAGGGATACCCGCCTAAAAGCACAATAAACCAAGAGAAACCAACACTATCGTCGGTTCCAGACTGAGCCTATAGCTAAGCCTCAGGTTCCTATCCCGTAATAAAAACGCAGAACCATCCTAAGTAATATTCGATTCCCGCGGAATCTCCTGTCTTCAAGCACGAAGGGCAGTGGGAAATCTCCGGTATTAGCCCCATTGCGGTGTGCTCCACTGAGCTGACTAGATGTCGACACCAGTCCAGTAATCGTGCATAGCATGCCGTCTTTTAACTCTTCCACCACGTCTTCAGGGTACCAATTCCAGAGACTTGTCACTCCCCCCTTGACAGACGATAAGTCAGCGGCAGACCGTTTGGCCTACTGGAAACAGTTTTGTTGCTTAGAGCTGACCTTGTGCAGTTGACAACAGACGGGGTGGGCACATGAAGACCTGTTGATGGAAGCGGGGACTTGAAATGGTGAACCAAATAAGGTCTCACTAGGTTAGGTGGTACTGAACCGAATAACATCAGAGCTGCCTACCATCAAGGTTGGATTGCGGTGGTGAGGCTTGGACCTCAACCCACATGGTCTAAAGCACGCCGGTGACATCGACTAACCACTGGCTTGGAGTAGCGCTGCACCTATTCCAACTTGGCCATCTTGTCAAGCATGCATGGATATATAGCGTGTCAGCCTAATTCAAGCCCCAAGCGAGCAGATTCCTAAAGACCGCAATCTACAAGCTGTTAAGCGATCGATT